TCCTTCCCCTAATGCTCCCCCGTACTAAAGGTCAGCATTAACATTATGGAATTTCAAGCACTGTGGAGATAAGTTTGAAACACGTAGGTGGCAGTTCAGTTACTTGCACTGCGTTGCGGATCTTTATTACAAATTCTGCTCTGTCTCCTCATTTGTAATTCCCATTGAAACTTCATCTGCTGCTATCAAAGCTCTTGGCTGCCTAAGGTTTTCACTGCTGTTCTTTACCCTTTCTTTCCTTCCCCTGTGCTTATTAAGTTATCAGCACCCAAATGCACTCAGTTGGGCAAAACACAGGGAGGTCGGGACAGTGTCACCACCGCTTGGGTCATCAAAACAGTGCCAGAATAACACTAAAATAGCAAATAACTCTTGTGAGGGCACATTGCACTGGGTTAGCTATCTTTGTGCATTTTACAGAAGCAAAAAAGAAAAAACCCTACAGACTAGTAACCATAAATTTTGAAAGATACTGAATTTGAAATAAAATTCATTTCAGGCAGGAACAATTTATACCTATTAGACAGATCAGCCAGTTTGCGCCGAAAGCATTACTTTCAGAAGAGCTATGGGGAGTTCTGGGTGACTTTCATCTTGTGGAAAATATTTGCACTTCCAACATATTTCTTTTTGAGTCAGAACGGGTAATTTTCTGTAGCAAAGATATTCTTTCTCAATCCCGGGACAAGAAATAATCATAAGTCACTAGAAAATATACAGACACAGACAACAATTATAATCAGCAAATGGCGATCCAGACAGACCTATTTTTACTCACTTACACATTCATGGTACAGCACAAATTGTTGTGAAAGCACTAAGTTTTCTCAACCAACACCAGGCCGCCTCTTTGCAAATTAGTTTGTGTGCAAGTTCTAGATGTGGCAGGCACAAATTATGAAAAAGAGCTTGCCATGATGAGAAAAGGATTTGATTACTTATGTTTAAATAAGGATCCCCTGAGCTGTCTCTTTTCTGTAGGAATGGTGTTAAATATTTGGCAACGGGATGACACGTCCTGCATAATTTAAACCCTCCCGTTTTACTGGGCACACACCACAGACACGGCAATTCATTAGTTCCCATGCACACTTTCAACCAGCATTAAATATACATGCAAGATGAGCTACTGCTGTGTCCATCAACCGCTCATCTCCTTATGACTTACTTTATCTTTTTATTGTTGACTTGGCTTTTACCCCGGGTGACATATCAGCACTTTTTGTTTGGTGTGTTTGTGAAGCGAGAGGCCTCAAAAGCTCAGTGTTTGATCCCTTCTGATGTCTGACTGTCTTCGGTGCTGTCACATCAGGGGAAAGCCCAGCCGTGACTCCAAAGACAGCTTCCATCCCTCCCTGCCTGGCAGCAGCTCAGCAGCTCTCTCTGGCCTGAGCTTATTTTATTTATTGAGAGTTAGGAGGGAGTAGGAAGACTATGGGATGTAAAAGGAGAAGCAGTGAACGGGAAGGTTCAGCATCTCTTTAATGAAGACATACAAGGCCACTGCGCAGCAACAGACAGCTGCTCCTTGCCTCAAAGAGGAGCAAGCAGTTTAAACAGAGAAACTTCAGCTGATTAAGTCATTTTTAGGCCTTCTATGGAAGAGTGATGAGCATTACTTTTGACGCGTGCCGAAGGGAGTTAGATATAACTAGATGTGTGGAACTCCTGCTTCCAAAATGTAAACAAGAGTTACTGCAATCTGTTTTCCACAGCTATGATAGAATCATAGAATTGTCTAGGTTGGAATATGATAGAATCATAGAATTGTCTAGGTTTGAATGGACCTTTAAGATCATCTAGTCCATCCACCAACCTAAGTCTGATAAAAAAACAACAAAAAAACCCTCCACATTGCTAAACTAAATGACAATTTGCTTCGGCGCCAACACCACTCCAAAAAATGATTAGGTAGCCACTACCCAATGGTTTCAATTTATCATCAAGATAGTTTATAATTTATTTTTTTTTGTCACATCAAACTTCCCAGCTTTTTAAACAAAGTTTTGTATTAGATACGTCTCATCATCCTAGTAATCAATTTTTTATTTCAAAACGGAAAAGTTCAGTAGTCAAGTTCTCCCTGAAAGAAACAACCAAACCTTCCAGTGAAAGATGAGGATAAATGGGAAATGAATGTATAGTTAACCTAAATTTCTGTCAAGCATAAAAGACAGATAATCCTAGTAATCTATTTTTTATTTCGAAACTGAAAAGTTCAGTAGTCAAGTTCTCCCTGAAAAAAAGAACAAACTTTCCAGTGAAAGATAACAATAAAAGGGGAATGAATGTATAGTTAATGTAAATTCCTGTCAAGCATAGAAGACGAGACAGGTAAAAGCACAAGGTATGGAAAAGCAAACAATAAGGTCTAGCATCACTGGAAACATGACAATGGAAGTTGATGTTTCTATCAGTCACTGTCTCCAGGACAGAGACAGTACAACACAGTCCTTTCCCACTGCAGATTTGGCTTTACCACATCTGTCTGTAGGGACGCCTTACAGACACTAAGTGCATACAAAATATGCATTATCATCTGCTTTAAGATTAAATAACCAATTCTCAAAGACTTCTGTCCAAAACACTAACAGATCCCAGCCCTGTACTATGGCGGCAAATGTCAGAGTACGTTCTCACACAGTTCACAATCCACCTCCACACTCCTCAGTAGACAAGAAAGCCAGAAAATATAAGCTAGTCTGCAAGAACTGGAAACCAGAGGGCAAAGATAAATAGGTCTATCTACATTTTTTTTAAAAAAATTGTAATTATTAGGAACATTACCACCACTGGAGTAAGAAATCCAGTGAGAAAATGAGTGAAAAATATCACAGGGAACTGGAAACCAGAGGGCAATCTATCTACCTTTTTTTTTAAAAAAGTCATAATTATTATGAACATTGCCACCACTGGAGTATGAAAACCAGTGAGAAAATGAGTGAAAAATATCACAGAAGGATGTGAAAATTGAAGACTGGTCACTACTGTAAAGATGCAAAGTAATATTTGGGCCACCATGACCGGGTGCTGGAACGACTTCTAGGTCAAGCCACCTATTAAAATAGCAGTGCTCTAGAAGGGAAAGACCCAAAGACTCCTAGAGAATTGCAGCAGCATCACAGAAATGAAACATAAAAGATAGCTAGTCTCCTAACTGTGAGCTTCAGGATATCCTTTCTCTATATTTCATCATTATCTTCAAAAAAATATAGCTTAAGGTAATTGAACTGGAAAATTAGGTTCTCATGTCCAGGACAAGATGCTGAAAAGAAGAATCCCTAAAGGGTGTCAGAATATGTACAAGTAGATTTTATTGTGCAAAGAGTTTCTGACAAGCTTGTTAAGGTAACAGCAGAAAGAGAAAACAGGGTTTCTTTTATCCTTCCCCGGGAGCTGTTGTTGTGCAAGGGGAAGAAAGACTTTGGAGTCCATCATCATGTTAACAAGCACAACAGCTGGTTTCCCAAACCTTTCCTTTGCAGCAGGACTGGGAAAACACACACGTGCAAGAGCAGCACACTGGTGTTAAGAAATTACAAATCAGTGCTAAAGCTTGCTCGCAATAAAGGTGATTTCTCGTAACAGTCCAGGCATTAATGAGTAAATCGGAATAAAATATCTGGATCTGCACTGTTCAAAATTAATTGTACGGTCTCACCCTCCAGGGTGTGAGAGCCAGTGTCTGTGTACTCATGTGTGTATGCATGCTTGTAGGATGGGATTCAAATTGTCTGTAAGAAGGGATCCAGTGTGATTTTAGGTGCTGTGGAGTATCTGAGACATCTGCACACAAACATCAGTTGGGATGCAAGGTCTACAAGCAGACCTTCTGGATCATCAGCAGAAGATCCTATGGGATACAGCGCAGCACAAAAAAAAGGCACCAGATGCCTGTCTTTAAGTGACTAAATCACATGTGAGTGTCACTATATTTAGTACTGAGAAAAGTAGAGGGCAGCAAAAGTTCAGAGGATTATTATAGTGAAAATTTAAATCCCACACCTACACAACACAACCGTATGCTGTCCTGCTTGAAATATTCCTATGCACCACTGAAGTAATGTGAAAATGAAATACTGTGTTCCAGATAAGTGACCTCTGCGTTTATGATGAACACAAAGTACAGAACAGTTTGCATTAACTAAAACATAACAGATTGGGTTTTCTTAGGGTAGATTCAATTTGTAAACCACAGCTCAGAAACACATTTTCTTCTTAGGTCCATTCACTATTCTAAATTCATGCTGCTAATTGTATCAGGTGATGGACACACTGATAACTGCTTTTGATGAATTTAATTAATACAATGAAAGAAGGAATAATATATAGCTATCATCATATTTTTGTGATGTATTGTTATTTCTCACTGAGCAACTGAAAAAATAACATATTGTAGTTCTGGGTTATTGTATAGAGCCTTAAAAAATAAGATCTCATTCCACATAAGCACTTAACAACATGTTGTATCCTGACTCTAAAGATCTATTCCAAGTTAAAATGCTTATAATCTTTATATTCTTGCATCTTTTGTCATTTATTTGTATGCACTGAATCCACCTGGATGTTTCATAGGGCTACAAACATTTTGCAATAGTTTTATGTTGGTCACACCTTATGCTACCAAAGACTAAAAAGCACTTCTTTGAAATAAATGTCCAATCCCTGCTTTGGGTCAGAGCATCGGAGGGGTCAGCATGGCCAAAAGCAGAGCACAGACTCCTCAGAGAAGTCCGTTAATATTCTTTGGAAAGAGGCCTTTTTAAACATCATGCCCCATTGAGAAAATTGAGTTAGAGCCTCAGCAAATGTAGATCAATTTTGCGACAGTCAGTAGTACGGGATCTGCAGATCTGGTATAAGATGTCCAAAACAGCCTGTATTTGATATTAAGATGACTAACGAGCAATTTTCCCCAAGGTTTTCTGAGGAATTCCTTGCTTCTCCAATTCCATTTGCTACTAGAAGTTACACACAGACGTGTGAGAAATAGTTCTTACCTTTGTGACAAAAGCTTCCCCACGCTGTAATGCTTGTGCCTTTTTTCATTTGAAAATGTTTACCCACAATTGATCCAACTTCATGACTTGGCAAATAATTATTTGCAGTCTGGAAAAAGAACAAAACTCTTAGTTATGACTGAATATTGAAACCCATACATGAGGCTATTGTGTAACCAAAGAGAAAAGTTCTTATTGGTATTTTTCTTAACATAATAAAAGCTGGACACTCCTCTGCAGAGCTAAGCTGTCCATGTGAAAAAGAAATTCTAACACTATCTGTGGATCATGCATGGACTTCCCCTCATTACTAATTTTTCTTTAGCCTGAAAAATGTCCATCATTCTTTTTGGTAATATGATAATTGCTGGAGATGGGTGAGAAATGCAAGACCTTTTTCCAAACAATCAGGTATAACCTGAATTCTGCATCCTGTGCTTCCAGTCCTAAAATCTGGCATCTCTGCCATTGCAGAGATGATGCTGATAATAGTAATAAGTTTTCAGGAGCTGCCTTGAGTAAGTTGTTTTGCCCAGGCTTGTTTATTATGTGTAATAAGCTCAGTTCTACAAAAATCAAGTCATTACTGGAACTCCAGGAGTCAGGAGTACTGCGGCAGACTGCTAATTAATTTTGCCTCTGAAACTTTCAGTCATAATTGGATCAGGGAATGACACATGCATTGAAAAGCAAATGTATCCCTGTGAAGCTGTTTGGCCTAAGAATTTTCTTAACGTATTGTTAGGAATTGGCTTTATTTTGGGAAAGCAAGGTAACTCATATGGTCATGTCCTTTTTTAGACAAAATACAGGTTATTTTTAACAACTTGTTTTTTCCACTGCCACCTAAGAAAAGGTTTTTACGTTCAATGGCCTTTCTGAACTGTATCAAAAGGTGATATTCATGATTATAAGAGTAATTCCTCTTGGAAAAACATGCTACTCTTCCAAGCATCAAAATGAAGGTGACAGAAGGGACAAAAAATAAGAAAGTTGTGGAGAGAAAAAGATGGAAAATGAAAAAGAAATCAATCAAAAGAGGTATTGGTAGTTGCTTTCTGTACAATAAAGCCTATTCAATTATTGGGCTTTCTTCAGAAGCAAACTGAAAAACTTCAAGTGCCATCTATTTCTTGGCTATTACAGAAGAGAGTATATGTTTTATTTTCATCATGATAGCACTCGCAAGTTTCAGTGAATACAAGGTCTCATTGCTTAGATGTAATACATATAATAAAAAGCATCATCAGGTCTCCTTTTCCTTCCTCTGCCCGAGTCAAGAAGGAAAAAAAAAAAAATAGCATGGAAGAACCCTGGCATGTTTGCAGCTGAAAGTAAAGCCCTGTCTTTCCCAAATATACCCTTATTCACTCAATTACACAAGAAGCCTTCAAGATAAAGAATTAGTAGATCTTCAGGTCACTTTCTAGTGGAAGAAGCCCTACATTGGTCACAACCTTGCACAGGAGATGTCCACCCCTAGTTATCTCCCACACAACCCCTCTTACTTCTGCGTTTTTCTCAGCATCATCCTGCTGGGCTCTTCCACGATTGCACAACTCTCAAAGAGGGTTAACACACCTTGCAGGGAATATGATGCATTCAGCAGCTCCAGGAAACCTAGTATTATAGTAGTTTCAGCAAGCTAACAGTTTTGCAGAAGAACCCTAATTTTATCTTATCTCTACTGCACATAGCTCAGCACTGCTTTTTGGTACCGTTGACCCAGCAAAGCCTGATAAGGACTTTGCTTTAGGGAGACTGTGTAACTGTAAGCTGGGGTCCTCAATGTGCAATCTCAGCTATCAACCTCTTCTGATTGATGGGATTGGCTTCTCTAATAGAAATGTATTTGAAATCCATGCCCACTATATCCTTAATTCCCCCACAGACGCTGTGAACAGTTAACAGGAAAGCACAGCTTTCAAAAAATTGTTGGGAACTCCCATATTAGCCACCAGTGCGTGTGTGGGCAATGAACACCAAAAAAGGGGGGAAAAATTAGCTGTCTCATATGACTCAAAAGCACAGGTCATGTTTGAACCCGAGGCCATCTGACCTTTCATGCCATGTCAGACTCATAGACTCCAGGCCAGGACACAAAGACACATCCACTACAAGCTCCAGACAGCCTGCACCATGCTCTTTAATGTTTCAGTAACTCAGAACACAGACCTTTCAGGAACTCTCTGATCAGCACAGCAGCTCTGAGCCCCACAATTCTCTTCATTTGCCATATGCAAAAACGCCTCTGGTCTCCAAGGGCAGGAGAAACGGAAGATCAAAGTCAAGCCCCACTACATAGATCCCAGAAGAGAGTTTGTCATAATCTCGTGTTCCATCTCTTACCTTGAAGCACAGAGCAAATGAGAAAGGAAAGAAAATTATGGCTTAATAGTGTATGCAATTAGCAATCAAAGGGAACTCATCCAATGAATCTTTCCAAATATCATATAACTTTTTTTGGAAGACACGGTTAACCCTCTCTGTTAAAATCTGCTCATTTGAGACATAATATTTAATTACTTTTTGAAGTTTCGATGGCAATCCATTATGACAGCTTTGTAAGCAGAAGGGTTTCCCTCATGATCATCCACAGTCACCACACAGTTCTTAAATCTCTTGCTGTTATATACAATAAAAAGAGAAATATTTAAGGAGTAAGGGAATCAGCAATATTGATACTCTCCACTCTTTCCCAGGTCTCTACACTGTGTTTTGTTGAGTAAAGTGGGTTATATTTAGTCTTTGTATATCTGAGCTCCAGTCCAAGAAGAAAGCTTGCTACAGCACATGGTCAATCACAATTATGATGCCCATACAGACCGAGTTGCTATCTAAGCTTCAGTGTCAATGAAGTATTGCTGACTTGCATTGTATTTCAGAAGAAAGAAAGAAAAGTTTAAAAGAAGGGGAGTACAATACCTAAATTTGAAGAGCCTAGATATTTTTGTGTATGCTTTATTCCTCTTAAACATCTCTGTCAATACTAGATGTCTTTGAAGAGCTTCAATTTCCATCATAAATCTTTTTAAATGAAAAAAAAAATGGCACAAAGTACAGAATTGCTATTTATGGGAGCAAAGAAAAAACTAGTCTGGAAGTTTCAAATCACTGCATCTTCAGTTTTCAGGCATACCTGCTAAATCAACAGACCTAAGAAAGCTGTTGAGCAAAGTAGCAAAGCATTATTTTTTCTTCCTGTTTTCCATTGCTTAAGGTTCTAGTAGGTTTGTACTTAGAAGGATGCTGAAAAGAGATGTCAGAATTACGTTCTGCATTTTAACTGTGACTGCCTTTCCACCCAAGCAAAAAACTATTAGATTAAACTTACTAAAACGGTAGGTAAAAAGTACAGAATTCTTCCCACGATACGTCAACCACAAAAGGGAAAAGATTTGAAAACAAGTTGTTATAATGACCAGTACTGTGTTATCTAAGAGACCCAACATGATGAAAATGCTGAAATCAAGTTATTCATATTTAAATGAATAGCAAAAGAAGAAAAAGTTGCAAGTATGACACCAAACATGCCTGTAATGGTCTGGGGTTAATTAGACTGAAGGAAACAGCTTGGGCTCTCCATTGTGCTTGAGCTGACAAAGACCACAGGCAGCAAAGAGCACCGTAAAAGGAGGTGGTCATGCTGGCAGGACAAAAAGGTCTTATATAGTGTTTAGACTGCTGGCAATCTTAAGACAGAAGACTTCAGAGAAAAAGAATTGGCTCTGGAAATTTTGAGGCCAGAAGACACTTGCTATTTTAAGACATGGCACTTTAAGCCTTTAAAAGTAAGTTGATTTTGTGTGTGTGCATCCACCATTTGTATTTTCTCCAGTATTAATAATAAAAAAAATCCAACTGCATACATTTTAAATAAATTATGATAATTTGATACTAATACAAGGTAATGATAAAAGCGAGAATAATAGATAAATGTGTATTTACCAACTATATTTACATATTTAAACAAAAGTACCATTTCTGATACTGCAATTTCACATCACATTTCCATGCATCAAGCTCCAGTCAGAAAAATGAGTAACCTTTGAGTTATAACAAAACTAGCTGAAAGGTCACCCTTTCCCCCAACTATGGCTAAATAGATTTAATCTTCTCAGGCTAGTATTACAGCCAGAGCAAAGTGTTTATGATCAATCCAATTAAAATGGTAATTTCAGGGGGACTGGCAGCTTTCCTAAACTGTAAAGAGTTCTAGTTTACTTGAAATCCCATGGCACAAGGTAATAATATGGGATGTTTGCTGTTTGTCACCATGGTAATTTTCCATGATATTACATTGGAACACTTGCACAAATATAACTGCAGATAACACACAGAAAAAGGAGGTAAACTATTTAATTTTAATGTTATTTTCACATCCCACTGAAAATACATGACTAAGATCAAAAGTTCTTTGCAGTATAGACCAGTGAGAGCACTATGTTAATCACAAGGAGCTCGATTCAAAGCCATCCTCCTTGCCAAAGTGAGTGTCTTGTTGGGTCAAACAAGATCACCCAGCCCCTTAGAACAAGTCATTGGAATTACATCATTATTTTTTGCTCTTGCAGTCTTTGATAGTGTAGCAGACCCTGAAGCAAAGCTTTGCCTCTAGTTGCCATTATATAAACTTCACAGTTTTTACCACAAGTCCTCCTGAATGGTTTTGTGATAAGCCATAAGCATAACTGCTAAGCAAGTGTTGTTACAAAGATCTATTAATAGATATTTCTCAGAAAGAAAGAAAGAAAAAAAGAAGGAAAGAAAGAAAATAAATGCTAGTCGCATTCAGTGCTGATGCACAGGGCATTTTAAGGGATTTTAAAGGGAAACTGTCAACTTGAAATTTCATTTCCTTCTGATTACTTCAGACATACCCAGAAGCTAACAAAAAGGAGGAAGATCTGGGGTTTTTTTCCCATTCCCTCCTCTCCTCAAACCTTCTTTATAGGGCTGGTGAATCTGCTTTGCAAATGTGACTGCCTCTACTCAGTCCCATGTTTTGTCGATGGCAGACATCTTGTCATTGAGCACTCTGAGGCTGAAGAGTCACCCAGACACGTTCCCTGGCTACGCAGAAAGCAGTAGAGCATTGTAGGGGTTCAAAGAGATGGCAGCCAAGAGACAGGCACATACTCAAGGAAAAATTAAGGTGGCAAATGTCATCTTGGTTGCTACTGTTGTTCAAGGTCTACCAAAAAGACCTTTCAAGAGAAGTATTACTAAATAGGTGGAAAAGCCTCCCCAAAGACACTAAGAATTTTTCAACAATTTCTTCTAAGTAATACATGGTGTTTAGAGGTTGCTGCATTTGGACTTTAGTGAGCTAAACTGGTTTTGTGCTTAATCCTGAAGGTGGTCAAAGGACACAACTGCAAATTCATGAACACCGTTTTCAAAGTCGAATCTCTGTCTTGCTTACCCTGCAGTCTCTGCTCAGACTGAAGCCTGGCTAGATGTACCTGTCTCAGCCTTCAGCTAAATTGCTAAGAGCAGTATAGCTGCAGGGGAAAAAAAAAAAAAAAAAAAAAAAGAAAAAAAAGCAGCTCAACTGGGACTGCAAAACCCTTCTGAAAAGTAGAGGAAATATTTAGATTGCTGCCTTGCACTGAAATCAGCACTGCTACGGCTAAGAGTGCCCAAGCCAACTCAACGTGATTACACACTAAAAGCCCTTAGCAATATAGTGTTCACATACCATTGGTCTTGATAGAAACTAGAAACATAGTGATGGAAGAGCTCACTCAATTGGGGTGGGGGTAGAAGTAATGTGAAGAAAAAATGTGAAGAAATCTGTGCCAATTTGCTGGGTGAAGATGCACGTAGCCAGCCTAGCAAGGAAATCGCAGAACCTTATACCTTATAGAGGTATTAAAAGAAGGTTTTAATTTTCTGTTAAAGCTCTTAGAAACCAAACCAAGCAGTTAGTGATGTGTACGTACCCCAAACTAACGGAAGTTACTGTGCAAATCCTTTGTTAAATTCAGTAGGTCTTAAAGGAGGCTCTCTGGAGGGACATGCTATATTGCACAAATCCTGTAGCTGCTTTGTTTAATGATGACCTGTTTGAACATTCAAGAGTTGCCCAGGAGGTTGGGTAAGCTCTTGAGTTAAAGACATACAGATAGGACCCTGAGTGATACACAAAGCAGAACAAAGGAAAGAATTACTGTCCTGGTTATATACAAAGTCCTTAGTTTAGGACATCAGGAATACACCTCCTAAAACCCCTGCTCTCAACTTTCAGTGTTGATTTGGCTCAAATCAAAAGGCTTCCAAAAGGAGTCCAGTGTAAGAAACCAACTTGCTTCTGATTCTTAGCACCATTATTTTTTAAGATGCAGGTGCTAAGGAAACTGAAACAAACACAACCAACTTGACAAAACATGCACCAAAGAATAGGCAACCCCAAAAAGACCAGAGGAAAAGTATGCAAAGGAAAAATGAACTCACTGTGCCTTCAGGAAGTCTGAAATATTCTGAAAGTAGTAGTGTAGGCTTGTTCTTATTTAAACATAGCCAAAGCAGGAGATCTACACCCAGCATCTGTTGGACAAGAACGGAGCACTGCAGATGAGACTGTCTAGGGGATAGAAACCAGAAGATAACATTTGTTTTGGAACTGAAATTTGGGAGATTATGTAGCTAAAGAAACGCAATGTGTTGTGGTAGTTAGACTTGGCTGCAACTTTTATATATACATTAAAAAAAAAAAAAAAAACAAACTCAAAAAAATAGTAACCTTAAAGCAATTAAATGACACCCAAATGATTTCTGCACCTCTATGTTCCTTCATTACAGCAGGATCTGCTGTTCTTTCTATTAATACAAATCCTGTATGCTGGTAATAACACATGGGCTAGCTTCTAATCAGCTGAAAAATTACAGGAGGAAGGAAGTTATTCTTAGGGAGATTATGAAATTAAAAACCTCATGGGGAAGATCTTTTAAAAGTATTTTTTTCTTCCAAAGAAAAAAATTACCCTCTCTTCTGCATAACAGGAAGATACAGCTGTAGTTAAAAGCAGGAAGTTAAGAATATCTCAGGATTTAGACAGGGATTTTTTTTGGCATTTAAAGAAATTTCTTTCCTTCCTTCTGACAGTAGGCTTCTTTGCCAATTTTATTCTTCTAGAGTTTATAATTCCCTGAGTTACCATATTTTCAAGTGCTGTGCTGGGTATATGGATAATTATTCCTGTGGCTATTTGAACTCAAGTATTGATAAAGATTTGACTCTCTTGAAGTACTCTCCATTTCTTAGACTGATACATCTTCACAGACCTTTGTTGAAGTGCAACATCTTCCTCACAGAAGCAGAGAGCTAGAAAATGTAATTTCTGAGATTATTCCATGTTTGAAAAATCACATAAACACAATTATTGTGCCTGCCTTCAGTATTCACCCAGGATTTAAAATGTTTGCCAGCTGGAAAACAGGAAAAGACAGGAGTGGAAATGGATTGAAAAAAAACCCCACTTTATAGGAAAGATTTGCTGCTGTTACCAGAGAGAGCATCCTCAAATCCCAGGGAGCCTTGGGAAAACAATTAAAATCCAGACAAAAATGTAATAAAAAATGTTTAGGTGGAACCATGCGGGTTTTGGGGATAAAACTCAACGAGACAATTTGGATTCAGACCAGATTTCTCAGAAAACAAATGTTACCATTTTGATGAGGACCAGAGACCACAGTTGGTTCTGTTGGCAGACAAGCAGGGGATAAGAAGACAACCCCGAGAAATGAGGAGCCAAGGAAGAGAGGTAGAAGGATACACTGCTGGCACCAAAACCTACAGAAGGCAGCTACCATTCACCACACCGGTGTGGATCTGACCTTACAACATGAGGACCAGGAGACTGAAGAGACATTAAACGACTTTTTACATGGTAGGTAGATTTTTACCAATGATATTCAAAGTCATTGATAAAAATTTAAGAATCGGTGCTTATCTTTTGTTAACAGCAGGCTCAAACCATCTGCAGACAACATATTTGAGTGGAACAACAAATGAAAAATTTCTGGAGCTACATTTCTGAACCACATATCATTTATAACTAACTTAGCAACATTATTGTTTCAAGGCAGGCAAAAGGACATCTTTATAAAATATATGGCCAAATACCCAAAAGCTCCTCCAGTTTTACTTCATGCATATGGCCTTTCAGCACTATAATTTATATTTCTACTGCTCACTTGCCCAGATGGGCTTTTACAATATCCTTCTCACAGCTCTCCAGGTGTTGCAAATAAATAAAGCACTTTATTTCAGGGAGATGAGAATGGAGTAGGTACCAGTGAAAGTTGCCAATACACACATTTTAGCAACAGCCATTACAAAAATTTATTGTGTTATTATTATTATTAAGTGTGCCAAGTGATTCTGTATATTATTCAAATGTCATGTATGACAAGTAAACCACAAAACTACTTTCAGTAAACTACTGAAATCAACAGTTGGCTGCAGTTAATGATTCTGTCACTGTGTCCAATTCAATAAGTACACTTATGGAGTATTATCATCAGAATGATGATTTGCCTGCCTTGCCTTGTGTGATATACTGTGCCACTAATATTAACAACAATGAAAAAAAAAAATAAAAGCAAAAGATTCAGTGAGTTTCTACACGAGTAAACGGCCATCCCTTTGCAGACATTCAGGAGGCGAAACAGAATCTAAGTTAGTTGAATTAATTATTTGTTACAAACCATTTATGACCTCTACTCTACAGTATATTAATTATTCACACAACTTGTTCAGAATTAAAAAAGATGGAGCATGGGAGAAGTGATCCTGCATCCTCAACAGTCTCACACAAAGCAGGCTCTGGCCACAAGAACGAATTCTCTCAGATTACTGAGAGAATATTAAACACTTCCATCTTATTATTTGAGACACAACACTCTTTTAATGTGGGGGTTATTCTACTTACTTGAATGTTATTTCTTAAGACATGACACTGGTTTTGTCCACACAGGCTCAGATCCACAGAAATGATTTCAGAGTTGCCTAAATCTCCTCGTACACTTGCCCGAGTTGGTGCTCTTCAAGTTGCTCAGCTCACGCTGTAGTTAATAAAATAAATCCATTAGTATTATTCAAATCCATATGTACATGCAAACAATATACCATTTTTTGACTGAAAAGGCCTAGTGGTGTATTAGCAGACAGAAATGTAAATCAGAGAAGCAGCAAAAACATCAAATGTTTCACATAAAGCCTACCACACATACAGCAATAATGCCATCTATGGCACTTCTGACCTGTAGATCCCAAATGACTGTTATCTTATCCTGGAAATTCAAGCAGTTGTTGATAACAGTGTGGATCTGGACAGAAAAATAACTTCTGAAAGGTTTAGGCAAAATTAATAAATTACACAGAACCATCGACTTGATCAAAACCTCAAATGTTCAAAAGAAACTCAGAACCAGATTACTGAGAGAATATTAAACACTTCCATCTTATTATTTGAGACACAATACTCTTTTAATGTGGGGGCTATTCTACTTACTTGAATGTATTTCTTAACACTGGTTTTGTCCACACAGGCTCCGATCCACAGAAATTATTTCAGAGTTGCCTAAATCTCCTCGTACACTTGCCCGAGTTGGTGCTCTTCAAGTTGCTCAGCTCACGCTGTAGTTAATAAAATAAATCCATTAGTATTATTCAAATCCATATGTACATGCAAACAATATACCATTTTTTGACTGAAAAGGCCTAGTGGTGTATTAGCAGACAGAAATGTAAATCAGAGAAGCAGCAAAAACATCAAATGTTTCACATAAAGCCTACCACACATACAGCAATAATGCCATCTATGGCACTTCTGACCTGTAGATCCCAAATGACTGTTATCTTATCCTGGAAATTCAAGCAGTTGTTGATAACAGTGTGGATCTGGACAGAAAAATAACTTCTGAAAGGTTTAGGCAAAATTAATAAATTACACAGAACCATCGACTTGATCAAAACCTCAAATGTTCAAAAGAAACTCAGAATGTTCAAAAGTATAAGAAGAAAGCAAAAACACGAGATTCAGCCTTAAAATATGTGGCTTAACATAATTTGCAAAAATTAATCTACCACATACATGCATTTCCATTAGAGACCATAACCAATGCTAACTGCCTGAGGTGTCTTCTAAAGAGGAGTACCAATATTATTTATATTTCTGCAGTGGGAGAAGGGGTGGGGGAGATGCTTGGGTTTTTTTTGTTTTTACACAGAAGACAAATACAAATATAAGCCCTTAGAGACATTATCATCTGAATAGACAAAGAGAAAAAGATGCTGTACAAGCACAGAGCAGAGAGATGTACAAACATGACTAGCATTTAAAAGTTTAAGGAATAGGGTTTTTTATAGCAGTAGAAGAGAACTCAGGTCTTTTTTTAAGGAAAATAATGCTTCTTTTAAGCAATGCTCATGCTTAAAGTCAGGCCAGATGAATATGTGTTTGAATAGAATGAGTATTCAGTCAATTGTACCATAAAGTGGAGTCTTCTACACTATTATTATCACATTTGCCATTGTGTTTTTACATAACATGTAAACACAAAGAGCTGGCTTAAAAGAAACACAGTTTTGCTTCATTTAATTTAGCATATTTACAAGCTTATTGGTTTTTTTGACCGAATTAAAAATTATCATCATTATAATTCCTTTATTCCAGTGCAAAATATCACATCAAGTGATGGATAGCATGGCAAAGTGTCTTAAAATATTACTCTTCTTTTTTTTCTGCCTTTGTCATATTTAGCATTCCTGAAGAGAAGTCTGCCCCTGTAGGTTGCTGCTATGTTTGAAAAGAAATGATAATTCAAGAAGATTGGAAATGAGTAGATGATTCAGTGAAGATATCTCCTCACCTCTTTTCCCTGTACTACATGCTTAGCATTCCTGAAAGGGAGAAAAAAATACCCTACATTTACAGATGTAACAATTCTACTACAGTGGAAGTTTCCCCCAATCTAACAATGACAATGCAATTAGGCTAGAGCTTTCTCTTAAATAAGCCTGTAATTAAACCCAGACACCTCTAACATCCATCCCTTGGATACTGCCTATGATTACAAGCAGGTATCTGGTATTTCTCAACTTATCACAAAGGACACACAATAAGACTGTGTCAATATATTTAATTTTATCACATCAGTTTCCTACTTTCAAGCCACCTTGTGTTCTGAAATGATTTCTATGGTTTGGCAGGGAGTCTTTATGAACTCTACACCTACAAATTGGCCCATTGCTGAAAATCCCCTTGGTGATTCAGAGCTTATTTCTTAATTTAAGGGGAGGGTGAATACGGAGAAGGAAATACACTTATGCTTTCAGAACAGGGATACTTCAATCATTTCTAGCAAATTAGGAATGACACATGTTTAATTTTTACAGTGCAGTACTGTTCTCATTGAAAGGATGATAACAACATTCAAGCCATCCTTGCTTTGTAAAGCATAAAATAGTTTAATGATTGCTATTTGGCCTTAAAACTCATTATGACAGTATTTGTTCACAGTGGAAAAGTAAGATTTTCTAGAATCCTTTGGGAACGTGATTCTGTTAAATGTCAACAGTGTTTTCATACAAATCCATATTTATTCCTTTCTCACTCTTAAGGGTCCAGATAAGAGAAGGTCACACAACTGGGACCACCACAATAGAGGCATCCATTGTGAGCTTCCTTTATTATTATTTTTCTTTGGTAAATTTTTTTTTTGGTATTTTCAAAGGCCCTGTTACAGGAAATAAGTGTCTGTGGACATGCAGAATGAGAATAACTCTTTGGGGGTGGCTGGACACGCTGCATACACACATTTGGCTGGTGCAGGTGGCCACTGAGCTTGCTGTGGTCACTGTACAGGTGCAGAATGCTCCCCAGAGCTTCAGGAAAGATTCTGGGCACACTGTTCCAAAAAAAAAAAAGCTCATGCCAGAACCATGGCAGAAATTAAATGAACCAGATTAAGACCTGACTGCTCTACATTCATGAGTATCTCGCACCCAAAGCAATTACTGCCTAGAATATGACAGTGAAAATTATAGATGAACTTTTCACCCTCCAATAAACCCTACAGTAGGAAGTTTTCAAGGAATTATGCTTTAGGCAAGGCCTGTCTAGTGAAGCCGTGAAAATGGGTTTCGCATTTTCTAAACGTCCCTTTTTCTTTTCTAAGTTGCTGTTTCTCCTTGAGACTTGCACAGAGCCAGGGACAGCTTCAGACTCTTCTCCTGCGCTATGTTTATTCAATACAGAGACAGTTGCAGCATTGTGTGACTTATCACAATGAGCCCGCAAGACTTGCATGTTAAATATTGACTACCAAATAATCACAACAAGCCATTCACCATGAAAAGAGTGAAACAAGTGGGAAAAAAAAAAACCCCACTCAAAAAACAACTGATAAGCTGTGTGAAAGCATTATCTCATCTCTAAGGACCGTCCATAAATAGAAAACTAAATTCATCACTTGTTCCCTGAATTAATGGCTGAGCTCCAAGAGATAAATTAATCAAATTATTCTGGAAAGAAAATAAGACAACTCATTTCAAAATTCAGAAGTTCAAGAGACTGTGAGTTATGAATTTCTCACGTTTACCTGGTTTCACAGGTTAAAACTGACTGAAGACAAAGTAAAGATTTTCTCTTATTTAAATTAGCCTTAAGATGTATTATAAACACATAAATTTACTCTTATCACCAGTTAGCTTCTCATTTCTGTTATATCTTTGTACATCATTGATGCTAATGGTGTTTGTGTGGTATAAAATAAGTGCTCAGTGAAAGGAGGCTGAGTTTTGGAAGACCATTGTGCTGAAGTTGGGGGCTCACTGCTAAGCCAGGTACCTAAAGCTGGAGGGAAGACACACATCTGCTGATTAGGTCCAAAATCCATTTAAAAACCCCAAATTGAAAAGTGTTAGTACATAGACAAAATGTACTGATAATAGTAACAAAAAAGCTCATTTTTTACTTTTTTATCAGAACGTATCTAACCACAACTTCAAGTTTACTTGAGCTTGAAATAGAAACATCATAAACTACCCCTTTTTCTAGGAATAACCTCCATCCCCACTAGTTATGTTCAATCTTCTCATTTCACTGTGGTGGGGCAGAACATTTCACTGCTCCTGCACACAGCCAGAACACAGCAAAGAAAGTATTTTAAAGAAAAATGTAGTTTGTCAAGAAATTTCATTTTTTTTAACTGGTCACTCACCTGGAGGTTAGAACACTATAGAATATAGTCAAGAAATAGAAGGAAACTAGAATTATCCAGAGCAGAAATATCACTTTATAGTTATCCCATGTTTCCAACAATAGCCTATTTCCACAAACACAAGAAAGCCTTCAGACAAAAACAAAAGGAAGGAATTGATTCTCCTCATGTTTCTGTTCATATGAAGTCATTGATGTGACTGGAGATATAAAAATGTATAGCTGGACACCATTGTAGGAGAATTGGTCTGGAAGCTGGCAAACTGAAGGAAACCCTGAATGATTTGTGCATGTTTTAAGGAAATGCACGGTGCCAGAAATGAAATGTGATTGTGTCAGATATGTGATTTGTAGGCACAAAAGCACAAGCGCTGCCAAAACTCTTAGAGGCATTTTTGTTGTTACCATTAGAAGGGAATTCACTCTGAAGGCTAAAAAAAAAATAAATATATTTGTATCAAATATCAGTCTCCAAAGCAAGCCTCACCAGCACTGAACTGTTTTACAGCTTCATCCCTGAATTTTGTTCTTCCAAATGCATATGTACATACAATTCCCCTGTATATAATATGTGATGCCAGCCAGCAACCGAGTGGTTGGTCCAAAAGATGGACTTCTTCATTTCCTTTCCTCTCTGTGTTGATCACTTGAATAAACAGTCATTTTCTTCATCAGAGCATGCCATCCCCCTTGCCCCAAAGGAAGACTCGATGTATATCCCTGTTTCACGTATCCTTGCTAAGTTCCTTAGCACAGATTGAGCGGGGCAGCTGGGAGCGTGCAATTCTCTAATCCATCCACCTCAGCTGGTGGCTCCGTTTCTCATCCTGAGCATTAAACTGACTTATTTTGGTCTGTCAAGAAAAAAAAAAGCTTAGTAATGTACAGCATGTGTGTTGAGTCACAACACAGAGCAGCTCTGCACGCTACCCTGCTCCTCTCGGAGCCTTTGAAAACCTTTTCTAATGAATCCTCTGGTGGTTACCCGGTGCCCTGCTCCTCTCGGTGCCTTTGAAAACCTTTTCTAATGAATCCTCTCTTAAGTAATCACTCTGCCAAATATCAGTTGTCTAGAAGAGCTTGGTTTTTAACAAAAGGTCAAACAAAATTGCAATGAAAACCCTAGGGGATACTTTCAAAAGGTCACTTAAGACAAAAGGGATTCCCAGCTGAATACAGGTTTCACCGTAGTGGATATATTCTGAGGGCTACCTTTTCAGAGAAAAGCTTTAATTCTCGGTCAGAATCAACGACTATAATTTTCTGTGCACAATCATCTGTACACCCAGTAAATGAAACAGTCACATCCAACTCCGTGATCTGCAGACTGTTCCTCCAAATAAAACACGTGGTTCCACGACTGCATCACTTATTATGGCAAATAAAGTTGCAACGTGATGATGCTCCCAGAACTGTAGCAGCCTGTTTATAGGAAGCCCGGGACTCAAGAAATGTATTTTCAGCTCTATGCATGTTGAGCTGGATGAGCTTTTCACCATGAATTATTTATTTGATTAATTTAGGGCCATCACCGGTTTACAAAATTCCTTTGTGCTGGCTTCTTTGGCCACTTTGTTCATTATTTGAAGTTACAGAACAGATGGTTTGTTCACATATATTTCTGCCTAATGATTGCTCATAAACTCTCTGTCCTGGATAGTGCTTTGAATTTTGGCTATGCAGGCTCTGTGACTGGATTTTTAACTCACATAGTGCATGGACTGGATTCCCAACTCACTCTTTTTTGGGTTAGCTAATTAAATATTTGCCCAAACTACAGGATATCTTCAAGAAAATGAGTGTGAAAGTGTCTGGTTTAAAACAAAGCTTTTTAAAGATATGTGCAACTTTCAATTTCTGAATAGCTTAACTGAAGCTATGAAAATTCAGACATTTATGTACAGATACTTAAGTATTTGACTGAAATGAAACAAAGGAACTAATGAAACTGGCTACCAAGCAAAATAAGACTCAACAAAACATTTAGAAAATGCAAGTAAGTGGAATAAAAGATGCCCATGAAGTAAGCAAACACTGTTTTCTTTTCTGTTCTCAAAAATTTTGCTATTATTGCCAGGAGAGGGACAAAGCCAGCACAAAAGGATGCCACAATTTTAACTGGAACAAGGACAGCTCTCCTAGATGAAGATGAGCCCTCGAAATGAATGATGCCTGTTTAAACCAGGTAAGAATTTTGGCAAATTGGCTGTTGTTGAACCATATACAAAATAGCTGTAAAAAAACCCAAGCAAGCCTAATTCCTCAATAAGTCCGTATAAGAACAAACAAGAGTGATCCAATCAGGCTCACATTTTACTACTAATGATGTGTTTATAGATATTTACCTCTGCAGCAGTTTCAGAGACTGTATCTGGAATTTCTATTAATGCCTTTCTTCACTGATTAATAAAGAGTGAAGCTATTGAGATGTACGGTTTCCACTCATTTTTATACCAGTGTAACATTGCCATCTACAGGACTCAAAGCACAGAAGCTCTCCATTACTTGAAGACTAATTTTACAATCAAGGAATAGAAACCACTGAAGTTGAGAATGTAAGTGTCCAAAATTAGCCCTGTTTGATCAGCCTGACAAAGTGCTATTTTACAAATTATCCAGTAATAGTATGGCTCACCAACAAAAGCAATATATTAAACTACTGTCTAGCAAGTTATAAAGCCAAGGGATTTCCTTTAATCTAGTTGAATTATGCATTAGGACAAAAAGAAACAATTATTAAGTACAAGGGGGTTCTGATTTAGTTGCTCATCAGAAATTGACACCAGTTACGTTTTCATACCATCATACAAAAATTCTATAATTTCGCTTTCTACAGACGAGTCAGAGGAGTCTCTCTCAGCATCTGTCTGTCTTAGCTTTGAGAAAGGATTTATGCAACACAAATCATTATTCACCACACTAGGCGATGGATATCCCTTCAAAGTACAAAATATGCTGTCCAGAGAGCTGAGAGTGCACATATGCAAGTGCTTAATTTTAGGCAGCTGCTTAATTTTAACCCTGCTGTTTAATCTCCGCCCAAAAGACATAATATTTGTGATTTCCAAGATGGCATTGATTCATTTCAAGATCTTAGTCTTCTAGAGTTAATTCTGGAGCTGGTTTCACAACATTTAGCATTCTTCTAATGAAAGGAAATGTTTTCAGGGCTCAAATGCTGTGTTATCTGACCAAGCACCCCAAGAAACAGAACAAATGGGGGTGATATGTTATTGAGGGGCACTGAATTAGGGCTGCTTCACCGAAATCTCTTTCAGTGTGACAAGGAAGAAAAACAGAATTAAGCAGTGATCAATAAGTACTGGGGAAAAGCTGGAGAGGTCATAGGAGGAAACTTGAATGAAATAATCTGATTGAAAGTGTGATCTTTGATGTCAGAAAAAGTGGTTATTGACTTTAATTCAAAGAAGACAGAATGCTGCAAGACATTTTCATTTTTGAGAATCGAAGAAAAAAGAAAATCGGAGTGGAAAAGAATCTGCAGCAACAAAACAGACAAGAGATCTAAAATTTGAGATGGATACTTTTCATATAAGCAGAAGAGTTGTAAACTTGAACCTTAGTACACTAAGATGGCTTTCTAGTTGTTGGGAATCACTGGATAAATTTTGCCTCCTTAATTTATATATAGGGAAAAAGACCCACAGCCAGTTGCAAATAAATAAATAAAAAACCCTCATTCACCCAAGCTGAACATATTTTCATTTCTCAGTTCAGTGGTCAAACTAGAAAATCGATTATGTTCACAACTCTATCCAGACATTCTCAGTCCAGGAGCCATGTTTCTGGAGCAGAATGGGTAGGGAAAGGGAATTTTTTGCTGTCTGCAGAGACACATTCTGGTTTCAGGTTTTCCCTCTGACAGCTTCACACTGGTCTAGTTGAGACAAACAGATGACAAAAAAGCTGACTTATTTCTGTTTTAAAACTGGCAGCCTCCCATATTTAAGGATAGTAATAAGGCTGTTAGCAGGGGGTTGTCAGCATTAAGATATTAAGACCTTTAAGAGACTTTCCAGATTGAGCTGATGTCGGTTAATACGCGAAGCCGGCAGCTGAGCTGTGAACAGAGCACCTGCAACAACGCTGAAGATGTTGAGGAGGGCACAGATTTATACATCATCCTGCCACTTAGTTTGCCCCATCTGACTCTCTGCAATTGCAAGTGGCTGGAATAACACTGTAGGTTTCAGGGAACGATACAGAAGAAACTGTTCTCTCTGCTACGGCCCAGAATTGACAGACACGTTTGGATAACGTGCTTCTGCAGCTGGGAGTTCCAGGAGCTATGGCAATGATGAGATTTGTCACTGTAGAAGCTTTGGCCAGGATACTGTCAGTAACCACCTCAGAACTGCCACACAGTGAAGTGTGGTTCTCTAGACATGAGTCCTTAGACAACCGTGGTAGTAGCCTCGCTCATGATGTCTAGGGGATAGGGTGGTGGCAGTGTTCTTCTCCCTTGGTGAGACTCTGCTGCTACTAAATAATAGTAGAAAAATAGTAATAAATTACTATCTTCAGAATACCCATGGAGTCAAGCCCTTATTATCAAGAATTTTGACAGAAAGCCAGTTTTAATTTCAAGTTTGTGTGGATGACAATACTTAGAATTTACACGATGCTTGAGAATTAACCAGTTGACTGAAAATTAATTTTGAATAAACTTACACCTCCGAGTGGATTTCTTGTGGATGATATATCTCAGAATTTTTAAATCGATTGCCAATGAAAAACCATTTAGAAATTATTAAACTTGCCACTGTATACCATTGTTTCATTTTTGCATCATTTTTCATTCTGCTATAGAAGAAGTAATTATATATTAAAGAAGGAGTAGTAGCCTCTAGGCTTTTGTTTGCACTGTTGTAGGCACTTAAAAATACATACTCAGAAACAATCTCCTCCTCTGCCTCATCAAAATCTCCCACTTGGAAAAGATAATTCTCATTGCGTCCTTACGTGGGATGGACATTCCTGCTTAGAGGAACACGCTCAACATCACACTGGTGTCTCCAGCAATGCCCAGGAGAGTGTCTGGAAGTCTACCCTCATTCCTTCCCCAAGCTCCTTTCCCTCCTTCTGTTATCTTTAGAAATCTTTACGATTTTAATTTTTAAAATGCTACTAAAAGATCATACATTCACAAATTCTAGACGGCGAAATGCTTTACAGGAGTTAAGGCAGTTATAAAGTCAACGCATGCAGAGGGGACGAGAGAGTCAGAGCTATAAAAAAAAAAAGGCAATAAAGATATTTACACCTCCAATTCCCTAAGGAAGTTAATAAGGTGGAAAGACGGCCAGAGGTCAGGGCTGGCCACCGGCACCGGAGCGGTGAGGACTCCCGCATGAGAAGTGGCAGGTCTGTGAGGTCAGGAAGGGGTTGCTGACAGGAGCCTGGAAAAAGAGATGAGGGAGAGAGGTTGGAAGCAGCATTTAGGGGGTTAGGCAGGAGAACACATCTGTTGCATATTTTATGATGACATAGACCAGGAAGGCAGGGTACATACCACACCAGCTCAGTAGATGTGTTGACAAATGAGGCTGATCCTTGTCTGGGCTGCTGGCTGTCCCATGACGTGTACATGCCAGCCTGGGTTCCTCTGCACTGTGCCATCCATCTCCAGTCCTCTGCCAGCTCCTGCACCCCAGCCAACAGCAAAGTAGACTCCAGCATCCTGCTGCCCCTGGTTGTTTGGTGCATTGGATGTATTTTACTTAGCCTTCCTGATGTCCTAAGCCCTAGGTACACACTACTAGTTCAATCCAGAATGTAAAAGGATGCAACTTTTTTCCCAAATCCACTTTCCCCAACTATTACTTTATTATCTACCCAGCAGGTATATTAAGCTCTTCATTAAAATTATCTGCCCTATTGAGGCTGACTGCCGTGATTTAGTATAGACTGGATCTTGTAAAGTTTGTGGAGCTCACACAGTTCCAATGAATTAGAGCAAGTGAGGTGTCACAGAATCACATGGGGTTGGAAGGGACCTCTGGAGATCATCTAGTCCAACCCCTTGCCAAAGCAGGTCCACCCAGAGCAGGTCCCACAGGAACGTGTCCAGGTGGGGTTTGAATGTCTCCAGAGAAGGAGACTCCACCACCTCCCTGGGCAGCCTGTTCCAGGGCTCTGCCACCCTCAAAGGAAAGAAGTTCCTCCTCATGTTTAGATAGAACCTCTTATGTTCAAGTTTGTGTCTGTTACCTCTTGTCCTGTCCCTGGGCACCACTGAAAAAAGACCAGTCCCATCCTCTTGACACCCAACCAATGGATTGTCCTTGCCAATCCATTGCTGCCTCTGCCCTGATCCCAATTCAGTTGCTTGTAAGTCACCATGGGGGAGCAGAATAATGATGCTCTGACCTCTGTAACCTTGGGCAGTTAGGGGGGAACATGGTAAAACCACAGTAGCCAAGACCTGTTCTTGAGCAGGCAATGAATAACTCTGCATATCGCAAAACATACGATATTTTACAATTTATGTTTTACATAAAATACGAACTTCTACTGGGTCTTTGGGAGAAACTTGCAAAAGCTTGGTTAGCATTTAAACTGCTAATCCCGGAGATGGATTGGACACCATTAAATAGAACAAAAATGTTACTGAATAAATAGTTAAGGCTAATGGCTTTCTATGCCAGAGAGGAAATAAATTATCCAACATGAGATGTTGTATTAGTCATATCACAGATTTGTTAAATAAAATAAGGGACTCAAAAAAACTAGTCCAGGAAAACGAGGTAGTGTCTAACTGCATTCTTGAAAAGAGAGAGCAGCTAATTAGAGAGAGAAAAAAATATATTTAAAACATGATTGCTTTTACTGGGATTAAAGACACCCTCAGATGATGAGCAAAAGGGCAGTCCTAAACAGAAACCCTAGGGAGCCGAAAAGCAGTGAGCCAAAGGAAACCTTTATTTTAGTGCCTGTGGGGAGCAGAACCTGCTCTGTAACAGATGGTCCCTGTCTGCCTTCTGACATCTTTAGCTGTATTAATCTGAGGCACGTTTGTGCTTAACTTTTCCTTTATTCCCTGCCTGAGAGCCAGGACACGACCACGTGTAAACAGCGACCATTGGAATAAAGGTTCATCCACACAGACATCCAGGTACACTTTTGTAGCTGGCACATGAGAACCTACCCTGGCGTGGTTAAAACATTGGATTTACACCCATTCAGAGGTGTTAACAGTTTGACAAAAATGACAGCTATTTCTCCTGCAGCCTGTTTGGATATTCACAGCTACTACATGGTTCTGCCTTATCATGAATGAACAAGATGCAGTCCTATCACAGAAGGAAACACCAGCAGCCGATGGGACAGTGGAACACACTCAACTACAGATGGAAGGAAGAAGCTACAGCAGGACCATGTATACTACAGTCTAAAAGAATGCACTTTCTTCATTTTGGAAGGCTTATCCGTATTTCTTTGGTCGCGATACATTGCACAACTCTGCAGTTTTCCATCTAATCAATGTCAGTTCTCTACAAACGTTAGTCTCCTCAGCAGCCTTCGAGGTGGGCGATTTCACAGTTTTATGTGTAGGAAGTGTGATTCAGAGACCAAAAAAAAGAGCCGTTGTTTCTCTGTGCCAGACAAGAAGAGCTATACTCAGCCTTAGGCGGGTCTTGTAAGGAAAATTTCCCCATTTCTCACTCTAATCCATCTCCTTCACGACACAGCAACATCTACATTTACAGAACTAATGGTCTGAGTGACTTATCTGGGCACCTGGAAACGTGATTTGAGCTCATCCTGTGGAATAAAACAGCCCTGAGTCACTGCTACAGGTCGCAAAGCCGATGCCAGACCCCACTGGTATTCCCATGCTCTGCTGCAATTAGTGATCAATTAGAAATTATTCTGAGGTCATACTTAATATTTACAATTTCTTGTCCTGCCTCTGAGCTAGTTAAGAAGAAGCTTATCTAACCAGTTCCTACCTCCCTCCTGCTTGGTGAGGGTTCCGATCTTCGGCTCATGAAACTCTCAGTTCTGTGCTCCAGATAACTCACGCTCAACAACAGCTGCACATACCAGATATCTCCATATTTTAATCTTTCAAAACTAACTCACTCCCTTTCTGAATAAAAAAGACCATGAAAAACTGAGCGCTCAGAGGGTCTCATTAATCCCTGTTGTAACTTGATGCACTTCACATTACATCAGGAAATACATCTGACCTCCCATGACACTACCGGGTACCAAAGTGACTGCGAAGGACCAGCCCTGTTGTGCCAGCCATTTATGTTACGCTGTGAAAAGCCCTTCAATTTCCATGTGTCCTCATCTCAATACAGACACAGTGTCAAGGGCTAAATTTCCAATATGCCAGAGCTCTAAGTTGACCAGCTCTATAATCTAATATGCATGAGGGTCAGAAGCAGCCTGTCACCTCAGATGTGTATTTTGCACAGAGTTATTTTCTTAGCCAAGAAGAAATTCACTTGAGTATGTTACTAAACTGAGAAAAATAACGTAAGAGAATGGGAAGAGGCCATATAAAAAATAAGACAATCAGGCCAGAAACCCCAGTTCATTTTGACTGCATTGGCATGTTTGATCCACCTTCTAAACCAGCCTTAACAGAGCAGCATTTTTTCATGTTTGAATTGCATTAAGAAGTTGAATTAGCTTTATAAATATAAATCAGTTAAGTATAATACAATATTTATGCCACGGTATCTGATTTTTTCCCCTTTAGGACTCCATTTAAAAGGGAAATAACAAGGAAACGTAGTACTCTCAGAAAGAGAGTGGGTTTAAAATTTATGCTAATTAATTTTCATATTGACACAAAACTAAATCCTGCATTTTATTTGATTGCAGCAAGGAAAAGAAAAAAAAAAAAAAGGCAGATTAAACCACATAGATTTTTTTCTGCAACAGATAATGCTGTAAGGGAAAACCTCTATTTTTTTACCAAACATGTTAATTCTCATTCATTCATTCTTCTCCTGCCCAACATGCAGGCCACTGTGCCCGAACCAGTCCTTACTCCTTATCCCAGTTCCCCAGATTCAAGGGCAAAGGTATGAGCAAGAAAAATAGTTCAATTTATTTGAAGCCATGAAAGGCTCCAATCAAGATCAAGAAGCCATTATTCTAGGCACTATATAAAAAGAGCAATAGCCCATCCCTGACCTGAAAAGTGGTTTAAAATTTTCCATTAAATCAAATAACATCATTCAAAGTTGGAAGAAAAAAATTCTATTGCTAGTAAAGATAGAAAAAAAAAAAAACAACACCATTCTGTTAATAGAAAGGCTACTTGGAATTTGCAAAAAAAACCCTATCAGTTGGCTAATTCCATATATATTCATTGAGGAGTCTGTGCCAAACTCATCATTGTCCTAACTTTCTGGGCTTTACTGGTGCTACATCAAAAAGAAAACCGGGTCCACTGAGGTCTGTTTTCTATTAGAATTATTCAGCAAGGATCTGCAAGCTGACCTGAAATTTTCCTCCAACTTCAGCAGAATCAAATTCTTTTTGGTGTTCAAACAGATTCATTTTTCTCTTCCCATTTCCTACACATATGCTCCATCTCATGTGGGCAACAGTGGAAGGTTCTATACTGCTACAAGTGGCATTATGTCTTTGATTGTTTTGGAGAGGCAGAAAGAAAGCTGAAGAGCAGTAACTCCACTTCACTGACCAACTCAGGCTCTGTCAGTTTTGTCCCTTTCTTCAAAATATTTACTATTCTTTGCTATACTTTAATTATTCGGTCAGGTCTTTTGTATTGCTAATAGAATTTGCCCATCATATTGATTAGCTTACTTAGTTCAGCTGGATTCACAGTGTAAATAAGATTTCTTTGCAATTTAAAAATCCCTTTGCTCCAATGACTCCATTTTGGTTTTTCCCCCCCTCATTTTAATAGAAGAAGCAGAACTAATTACCTGCCCTTATGTCAATGTTTCCTCAGCAGCATCCTCCAGTATTAAATCACTGGTTCCCTCATTGTTATTGTCATTAGCACTGAAGTATTTTTATAAGGAGAATTTCATTCAGCTAGCCTGAGGTTCTTACTTCTGCAACAGACAAAGAATAATTTCTGAGTTAGAATCAGGATGTTCTCTATCCTTAATGAGACAGCAGCATGATTAGAAAAAGAGATATTTTCCATTTTCCATCCATGTTCATTTTAATCCACATTTCACTGAAGTAAATGCAGGCTTGTCCTGAAATGCATGTTGTGCCTATTAACATACATACACAAAAAAAGCGAATTCTTTATCTCAGGTTTGCAGCTTTCTCAAACATCATGAAATCCTAATTCAGTTTTCTTTATTTTAATGCATTTTCCCAGTACAGTTTTCAGACAGACATGGAAGCTAATTTATTCATGTCTGGCAATAACATGATATTATAGTCCTTGACTAAACACGCTGTCTCTGAGCTATACTGTGCAAAGATATCTACAATATTAGCAAAAGAGGAGAGGGTTATAGTTTAAAGTATGATGTCAAACCCCTCAGTTTAAAATCTATCTTCCTCATCTTAGCATAAGAATAAGCTGATTTTTTAAAAAATTTACCAGGATAGCTATTTAAGAATTGTATAGATAGAAAGCAACTCTACTCCACTGCTTTTCTATTTTAAATATTTGCTTTAGTCACTGTGTTGCTTTACATCTTCCCCATTAGTTAAGTTATCTTGAATATTTACAGATAGTTGACTTTGCTAATCCTTACACAATCTCATTTTTTTAAAATAGCTGCCAAGTGACTTGGGATGGGAAAGCTATGGAATATATTTGGCACCAATTTATTACTGAGGGGAGCAATTTTAGGAAGTTTAGTACAAAAGGGGAAGACTAAGTCTTCCCCCAGGGATAGGTGATACAGTGAAGAAGGTGACCCAAAGGATAGAGACATGCCAGGAGGTGAGAGGCAAGGAAATCGTAACTGTTGGAGGATGAGGATGACAAATTCAGATGGCATAAAACAACACAGGAATTCTGCTTTCTCCTATATAAAGCACTTCTGGAGACAACAAACTCAGGAAGATGTATTGCAGAGACATTTATCAGCCTAAATGGTCAAATTGAACAATTAGCGACAAAATTCTTCAGAATTTCCAAATACCACCCTTTTATTAACACCATATAAAAACTGTCCGTGGAGCACTAAGTTTCTCAGCATGGGAGCAGAAGGCTTAATCCAAATGAATTTCTGACATGGTTTAGCTAAATTGCATTAAATAATTATTCAGACATTTGTGTTAAGAATTAAAAATGCCTTGATTCAATTTTCTTTACCTGACATCCAAACAGCTTAAGTTAAAATCAAATTTTACTCCTGAATTTGGATGTGTGCACAGAACCCAGCACAGTTTAAGTACATCTCCTTACAAGTGACTCAGGCAGGGAAGGAAACCTCGACTATTGCCACAGCCTCCAGAAGAAATCAAGACAACTCTCTAACAACACTCCATTTCTTCAGATAGTTCAAATCTCTCTCTCTTGAGCATTTAAGGAAGGATAGGAGGGAAGTGGAAATGTATATGCCTCGTGCGATAACATTATATAATGACATCCAATACCAGAGGCAGACGTTGGACCATTTAGTCTCATCCCATATGGCAAGAACAAATGTTCTCCCAGTTTATTATTAATAGCACTATGACAACACTGTGACTCAGCATCAGAAATCATTATTTTAAATATCTTCCACCAGAGCTGCCTTGGCACGAGCTTTTTTCCACAGAAGGCTTGTCCTGACTAAAACCTTCCACCCAGCGCTGAGATTAGCACAGTGATGCAAGAACCTGGTGATCCACTTCCACATTAAAATAAACGTGTGTCCTAACCTTCAAGGAGTTGATATAGCATTTGGAGTTATAAATCAAGGAGAAAAATATAACGGATAAATGTTAAAATCATTAAAGAGGCTTTTCACTGCAAATAAAGAGTGAATGACTCATCCCAAGTCAGCTCTCAAATGTATCAGTTTGGGTTTTTCCTCCCAAAGTATGCACAAATCTCTTCAGTCTCGTCTCTTGTCATCTTCTTGTCAAAAGAAATTTCACATCACTTCCCCCCATCATTACTCCCCCTGGCTCTTGAAAACATTCCACTTTAAAATTTTATCACAGAGGGTGTTGGGTTTTTTTTTTTTCCCTTCTAGGTTTCATAGAGGGTTATGCCATGAAATGCAGAGAAGATGACTTTTTTTAAGAAGAAAAAGAAAAGAGCCTTAATGCAGCTAGTAAAAAAAAGAATTAAAATCATAGAATGACTGAACAACCTTGATATTTTCCCTCTCTGAATCTACCTTCGTTTCAGTTCTGAAGTCCAAGTGAAGCTGCAGAGTTTGATGGGCATTTTCCCTCATTAGAGTGTACGCAATGCTCTTAGAGGAGAAAATAGATGGCTCTGTCACCCAGACAGCCTCCAGCAACTGCTTCCTTGTGACATCCCTTCCTCAGCCACCAAAACCTCCTTCGTTAGCCCACAACAACTACAGTTTGGTACCTAAAGGCTGTAAAAAAACCACCCCAAAACCCTGCCACCAAATGACAGGCATCCATTTAAAAAGACTTGATAGTTTCAGTTACTTTCTGTGTGGTTTTCCTCCTAATATTTTTGCAGGAGGTAACACACACACACACACATTTCTGCAGTAGAAGGTTGGTGGGAGATTGAGATTAACTAAGCTTTATAAACGCAGATAAGTAGGAGCTGACAGCACAGGGAAGATTCTCTACAGTTATCAGAGTGGGCACGTGACACGTGCATAAGACATAAAAAAGCCACCAAGAACTTCTCTTCAGTACCTGTAAAATCCCACCAGAAGGTCATTTTCTACTCCAGTTACAGTCGTAGGAACTCCAGCAGGTGGGATGTGCTCTCCACACAGCTGCACCCGTATGTAAGGAGCCGGTACTCTTAGTGGGTGAGGTGACAGAGGTGGAATGAACATCTGCTGTGTTTCTGCAGAAATCAAGTTTTAAGGGATGAGGCCTTGGGTAAGATGCTGCCTGTCATCTGCAATTTTTATAGTGTGCTAGAAAAAGGGAAAAAAAAAGAGGGAAAAAGCAATAATTTTGCTCATAGTGGTATCCTAATATCTGTATGAAAATGGACATTAATTTGGCATTCAATAATATTTTTCATGCTTCATTTTACGACTTCAATGATTATCTTTTTTAAGGAAAATTGACATTGGACTATCATGTGGCAACCAACTGAAGCTTATGTATGGGTTGCTGCCTCATACCACCACACAGAGCTTTCACGTAGAGCTGGTAGTATCATTGTGGCAGTGGCAGCCTCCTGCCCTCTTTGGAAATAACTCTTAAAAGGGTTTCATTAAACACAGACTTTCCTTTTAGATTTCACAGATATTTGCAGGAAAAAACCCAAACAACCAAAACCCAACCTTGCTTCCCTTGAGCTCCCTCTAAGTTTTGGAAGGACCTCACTTTTCACGTCTCTGCATTTTCCTGGTCCTCATTTTCAACCCTATCTCAAATGCCATTGTCAAATAAAATGAATTCCAAAATTTACATCCTATTTAGACCTATTCCTCCTGTTCAACTGTCTTTGCATCTTAACCATCATCCCAGAGCGTTGGCTAATTTGTTTCTGCCCACAGCCCCAGCCTAATCCCCCATTTCCCCCTTTGGGAAGTTCCACATCCAAGTTCCCTGCCCTGTACCTAAGCCTTTACCAGATCAGTACCTGTTCACTTTCCCCTTCACCTCCTCATTTTCTCTCTGTCCCCCTAATCTCTCATCTGATCTCAGTGCAACTCCAAAGAATTGGCTTCTCACTTCTCCTCTCCCCTCACTCCAGCAGGGAATCATCTCCCCATCACTCCTGCCTGAGAGCTCCCCAGTTTCCACACTCCCTTTTTCTCTGTCCTCTGCCCTGTCCCTTTGAATTTCAGTGAGATGACTCCCTCCCACGCTGCCTGTCCTGTGGGGTGGGAGGAAGCTTGTTGTGGAGAGGAATCCCATTTTGATTGCATTTTGTCAGTGGGTAAATGCTGCCCAGGAGGCTTCATTGCTTTTCAATTTCTCATGAATTTTTTTGTGACACTGATTTTGAGACAATTTTAGGAGTAGGCGTATTGTACATCATATTCAGCACAAAAGAGCTTCTGACTGTAGCCCAGCAGAAACCTCCTACATTTCACAGGTGGTTTGGGAGCTGCAGATGGAGAACTTCTGTATAAAAAACTTTAAAAAAAAATCATCCAGCCTTATTTGTCCTTTAATTACACTTGGTTTTCACCACTTCCTCACACTCTTTGCCTTTCTGAATGCTGTAGAATTGCACTCAACTTGAAAAAAGTTAAAAAAAAAAAAAAAGAACTCTTACGTTTTGTAACAGTTTTCTCACTGCTACTGAAATTTTTATTTCACCAACTTCCATCTTTCCTTCTCTCCTTCGTGCTGTGGCAGAGAAACTTGGTCCTTGGCTGGCAATAAGCACACAAACCAGATATTGACCCAAAGGGTCTTCTCCAAAGAGAAACATAGTTTGCTGGTGACAGATCAGAAATGCAGGAGAAAAGTCATGAATGAAGAAGCATATCTCCGACAGCTTAATCTGACACCAAGTCAGCAATTTTCACAGCACAATTTTGCAATGGTTTTCACAAGCCATTAAGCTGCCAGTTTTCCCTGCCCAGGCTGAATTTTCCCTGGCTGTGGCTCATCCTCCAGGACCACTTCTCTAACAGACAAGTCCCCTTGGTAATACCAGTGTTAAGCTTTTGATCCTGCTGCCCGATGGGCTGCTCTGCTGGATTTTTGCTTCCAAATACTGCATTAAAGTAAAAGCTGCTGAAAAGCACAAAATCTATCATCTAATGAACCATAATATCACCTCCTGTAATGCCAATTACATAAATAAAATGTACTCCTCCCTGCACTGGGGAAGAGCAGGACTGAGGTTTACAAAGTCATGAACACCGTTGATATTGTGAATGTAGAATTTTTATTTATTAACCTCCCCCAACACTAGAATGAGAAGCACTCAAACTAGTATGAGATATGCAGATAAAAACAGGTCCTTTTTTTACACAGCTGGTAGGGAACTACTGGAATGTGTTGACACGAGCTTATCAAAGCAGACAGTAACAGCAGGTTTAAAAATGGATCAGACAAGTTCATGGACAATAAGCCCAAAAACTAGATAATAAAAAGAGCATCCTTGACCCAAAAATTGTCGATGTTGAGGACGTACAAGGGGAATGGGCTGCAGAAAGTGGCTGGGCGTACACTCTGGCATCAAATAATAGCTTTTGTTGCCTCCACTGAAGCTGGATGCTGAGCTACATCAACCCCCAGGATACACGACCTGGCAGGCACTGAGGTTCTTACTGGGCAGCTCAGTATCAAAGACGAATGGAGAGTCTGGAGGGAGACAGGAGAGAGAACTTTATCTGTCCAAGTAAAGCTGGAATAATGGGCTAAATACTCTAAGAACAGCTATTTCCCCTCCTTCGTGGCCAGCCTACAACTCAGTAATGAGAGAATTATTACAAAGAAGAACTTTGTTCTGACATAGTTTACTGCAGAGTTGTGCGATTCGTCAAGGCAGGAGGAGTCGAGGCAAGTGCTTAAGGTTCGAGCTGTGACCCTGCAAAGTTTTTCAGGCATCACTTGTCACCACACAGCCAGCAACAGTGATACCACTGCTGTGCTGAGAGGTCACGAGCCCTGGTCCTCTTTGCTCTCTGATGTAAATCAGAGATAATGTCCATGATAGACAATGGACTTCAGTTGCTCCGAAGAGGGATGAGACTAGAATCAGATCCTTAATGTTTATCTGTAAAAGTTGGTGGAAGTTAATCATGAATAGCTGTTGTTTCCCAGATAACCCCTGCTGAAGCTGGAGGTGATTTACTTTGTCCCATTAGGAATATTTCTCCGATGCATCACATACCATGACACATTCTGGCTATTAAGCTACAGTATGCCTAGCAGACACTGTCTCAAGACTTACCTATCCATTTCTTAAGATCTACTTTTTTTAGTAAAAAATGCAATATCCTTTTCACTTTCCAGCATAAACTGAGCATTTTATCCAAAAAATGGCAAGAAAATAGCTCATTGTTTTTCCAGCCAGCTCATCCGCAACACGGACTGGTGTCAGCCAAAATTAAAGGTAGGAAGAAAGGGCCATTTATCTTTAAACTGATTTTTCAAATCTGCTTCTAATCAACTAGGAACTTTGTTGGTTGTGTTTTACAAAAGCGCCAAGTCACAGATTCACAGATTCGACAGAGTTGGAAGGGTCCTCTAGAGATCATCGAGTCCAACTCCCCTGCTTAGCAGGATTGCCCAGAGCACATCACCCAGGACTGCATCAAGGTGGGTCTTGAAAATCTCCAGAGTCGGAAGCAGAATAAAAATGTTTTTCAGGCCCTATTGCTTTTGTTCATTTTCATCAGACTCAAGTACTTAAACTCTCAAAAGGACATAAAATAGTGAAAACGGTATGCATGGCAGATCAAACACTGCGCCTATTGCAATTATTTTATAATTAAGCCCTGGTGGTGTAGCACTTAATAAGAGTAAATCTACTTGGTTGAAATTCAACTCCATAAAGGCAGAGTTGGATTTGCAAATGTCCATCTTTTACTGCTGGTGAAGGAGAAATCAAATGAGAGCAGGATGCAGAAATTTTATCTGTAGGTACCTTGGATATTTCTCCCTGGTGATAGCGTATTCCCCAAGAGCTTAGAGGAATGGATATGCCACGAATAGAAAAACAACTGCACACATGTGGTTTCTTTCCTTGGTTTCAGGGTCCAGCAGTGTTCTAAGACTACTTGCAAGTATAACACTTACTGCTTCCCACTGGACCGGTGTCTGCATCCGTATCATCCCATGCTGCCTACATTGCAAGTAACACATAGAGTATGGTCTGTGCATCTCACAGGGAAATGAAAAGAACAACACGATCATTTAACCTGACCCCTTTCTCTGCAGCTGTAACTTCTCATTAAGCAGCAACCACAAATAGACTAGTTAAGTGTTGAATTGTCGCTATGTCCGTATCACTTGAGTGGCTGTAAATTTGCTGACTGATCCCAGCCTTCCTCATTGTTAATAAACAGAAAATTTTAACAAGACCAAGCCCAGCTCCCACTAAGGATAAAGCAAAAAAGCCTGTGCAGAGATCTAGAAGTTACCATCAGGTATTGCTGAGAGGTAACTCAAAAACGGTGCCAAATAAAGTTCAAAAGAAAATATACAATGGTAATAGCACAGCCTGTATCTCCGGGAAACTCTAGAGCTGGAGCTGTTGAATGGAGACTTTTAAAGCACCCATTTTCGAGTATTTTGTGTACGTCATCTTAAAAATAAAATATCCATCCATGGGTAACTGTCTGGGATAGTGACTTGATATCCTTTTACTTATATTAGTGGAAAATAAATTTAAATTTTATAAAGGGAGATATGAGCCTTAGACTTACCGGGTTCTCCACTTAGAGGCCACAGATTTAAATAGTCTGACAGACAAAAAGAGAGCGAGTTAATTTTGCATCCTCCTCATATACATGACATAATTGATACGATGAGAACCTCAGCAAACTAACCTGGTTCTGAAGAGTTAAGTTACTACTTCAGTCACACGCGGAGCTCATCTGGGCCTTCTATACAGGGAAAATTCCCTTGTAATGCAAAAATACAGCTAAAATTATTTTCAATCCAACTCTAATTTGTCTTGCCACACAAAAATAGCATGCAGCCCAATTAATATGCATAAAACATAAACCCATTAATGGACTGCATTTAGGTGAGCTAAAGGAAGTGAACCAAGTTCATCTTAAATCTTCTTATATGCTTTTTGCTGATACCATGACAGCTAGGAATTAAACATGCAAAGAACTTTTATTGAACTGTCCAGATCCTGTTTGTATTCAATCAAAGTAGACCATTTTATCATGCTGCTCTTGACATTGCTGCAAAATAGATAACAGCTAAATCAGAGATTGTCAAACTGAAGT